CATATTTTTATATATATAAATATATATATTTAAAAAAAATATATATTAATATACTATTGTTATTATATATGCAAACATACATATATTAAATATTTAGATCCTTTACCTTCTTCTCCTTTTTCTCCTTTTTACTCTTCTTCTCCTTCTTTTCCTTCTTAGACTTCTTATCCTTGACATCATCTTCTGCACTGCTTTCTGATGCTTTTCTCTTTTTGCTCTCCTCAACAACTGGTGCAGCAACAACGGCCTCGATCTCTACCACCTTTGTAGTTACCGTAGGCTCCGGCTCATCCCTGGTGAAATAAGGCAAAAATTCAAACACCACTTAAATATAACGGTGATGCTAAGGTTAAGTGTCAAATAAAAAAATACGTAATATCTATGTCAAGCCACCCCACGTGCACACAGAAACGAAACCAGGATACTCATCATATGAACAATAGACTATTGCATATAGCACAATCTAGAGTCCGCCAGAAAGCGGCGACAATCTTTAAAAGCATAAACTTCTACAGAAGAAGTGTACACTCTAGTAACACGAGCCGACCAGACAGTACGAATACAATGCGCAGCATCCACTTGCGCAGTCATGCGCAAAGCTGTCACTATCCCGAATCGTCACACATTCAACTACTTATGGCAAGATAAACAGACAAACTGTGTCGATTACGTATATGCAATCCGATGTACCAAATGAAACCAAAATTACAACACGGAGTGTAACTAGACAAAAACCTGCGAACGGACAACACTTTAGAACGACTATATACAACGTTTTCAAGAAGCACACCTGTGATCTTTGTATCCGGCCTTCCAGGTCTGTGGGGTGGCCTCGTTTGCCCTGCCATACTTATCCAGTTTGCCGTCCTTGATCATACTCTTCTTCTCGGTAGCGTACTTACCTAAGCCCCACTTGCGAGGGTATGTATCTCTCTCCATAATCACACGCTTGATCTTGACAACCACGCCTGTACAACATGGTGCGAGAATTCAAGGTGAGCGATACAGATGATATTCATGGAAGCTGAAGAAATGCTATATATCTATATATCTATATGTATATGTGTGTGTGTGTGTGTGTGTGTGTGTTATGTACACAAGCATACCGTGGTCGCAGGTAGCCATGACTGCCGTTGTCATCATGGCAATACCAAGTGCTATCGCCTCACCCTTGGTGGTCATGAGCACACATTCGTCTCCAACTTCTATCTCGTTGGCAAATCTCAGTAGCCCGGGTACCATCAGCTTGGCTCCGTAACAGATGGCATTCACAGCTGAATCCTTCACCACCACACGCTTTAAGGACGTGAGTAGAACCTCTAGAGGCATTACTACACGTCGAATATAGGTCTCGTCCTTGGTGTTGTCTAGCACCCACTGGGCATCCATCACATCGTGCATGGTGACCATATTGTCTTGCTCGGTCATGATACCACTCCTGACTCGACGAAGCTCCTGCATGTGCGCCCCCACACCCAGAACAAGCCCCAGATGTACACACAGCGTACGTATGTATGTACCCGCCTCGCAAGAGACGTGGAATACGGCCAAGTGTCTGTCGTTGTCGTACTCTACTAGCTTTGACGAATAGATAGTTCTGATACGCAGCTGACGCTTGACAGCGGAGATAAGAGGCGGTCTTTGGAACAGAGCACCAGTCAGTTGGTCTAATGCGCGTTTCACAGTTGCCTCTCCGCCCTCGACGGGTCCGTGGAAACGGGCGATGCACACGTACTCCTTTCCAGCACCTGATGATGCAGAAGATAGAAAGAATGTTGACCACACAATACCTGTATAATGACACTTGGGATATACAGAATATCAGCTATATATA